ATTTTGTTAGGTAGGTACTGTAACATTATTATTATTATTATTATTATTATTATTATTATTATTATTATTATTATTATTATTATTATTATTATTATTATTGTTATTATTATTATTATTATTATTATTATTATTATTATTATTATTATTTATTATTATTATTATTATTATTATTATTTATTATTATTATTTATTATTATTATTATTATTATTATTATTATTTATTTATTTATTTATTTATTTTATTTACTAAGTGGCGTAACATCTGAGAGCTAAAGCCTGGAGCCCTGCACCAGAGTTCCGTGATATTTTGGCATTTTCTAAAAGGCCATTGGAACCCAAATCGGGCCGCAGACGTGCCCCTTAAACAGCAGAGCGTGTACAAACGTAAACAAACCCGGGACATTTTCCCGTTACCCCACTGTAGCACTGGGGCTTGTGGTCCTCTGAGTTTCCAGGATAACGAGCCAGAAGAAGCTTAGCCACAACCACAAGCCTCTTCGTTATTCTACTGTATTTATCACTAAGATGTTTCAATTTATTGTCTAAATGGAATTTAATATCAAATTTAATTCGAGCAAAATGAAGATAGGTCTACAATAAAATTCATAACTGAAATATCTATAACTTTTACAGGTCCTATAGCCACCTCAGTGGCTAAAAGATTTGGCAATAGGGCAACGATTGCTACCGGTTGCTTTATGACGGCTGGAGGGTTGATGGTGACGTCACAAGTAACATATATTTGGCAGATTTTTCTGTCTCATTCGCTTGTCACAGGTAAGTTTAAATTGGTGACGTAGGGTGGACAGGGTGATCATCATCATCATCATCATCATAATCATCTTCAGGTACCGCGTCTAATTGGAATATGATCCATTAATTATATTCTAAAGTAATGTGTGTATATAATTTCGTCAGTTAGTGTATTGTGCTTTTTTGTGTGTTCACTTATCATATTTTCAACACACTACAATATATTTCGGTATGTAGGGCCTATTATTACTCGTTTAACAATAACATTTACACCTTTTCTTAGGCTGTGGTTTGTGTTTATTAACTCAGGGAACGGTATATGATTTAGCGAGAAGTTTCAACAAATCTGCCTCATTATATATTGGAGTTATGTATGCCGGATCGTCAATAGGTTTTATTATCAATCCACTTGTATTTTCTCAAGTGAGGCTATTGTATGGTTGGCGCGGAACAATCCTGATAGCGAGTGCCGTTTCTATGAATATGTTACCACTTGTTTTACTGTTATTTCATCAAAATGCAAGCAAAGTAAGCAATTTAGACCAAAATGCTACTATGACAGAAGATCACAGTGGCTATAATGAGCACGCGGGTAATGCTGATACTTGCGAAACTGGACACGACAACACTGTTCTGACACATAAGCAGCGAGATGACCAATCGGAGGTCCACACCGATGAAGAAAACGGAGTGGTTGAAGTTGTTCATCATAGTGACTGCATTGAATATGCAGATAATGCTGGCGTCTGCGACATGGATAAACAAGACAAGATTGGTATGGAACATCAGCAAAATAATGAAAAACCGGATAGAATGTCCAAGTTAGACGAATTATCCGAGTTCTCCTCCGATAAAGAATGTAGAGCGGTAGTTCGTTCTACTGACAATAACATGGAAGAGCATCAGGAAGAAACGAAGCAACAAGCGCCTTCAGTGCTCATGCTGTTCAAAATACCTAGTCTTGTCATAATCGCCATTGTTTATTTTTTTGGAAGGTTTGCGTATATCGGTTTTTTCGTTCACTTTACCGCAAGTCTCATCTTGAGAGGATTTTCAGAACAGGACGCCGCTCTTGTGTTTACCGCCTATGGACTGGGCGGTCTTTTTGGAAAAAGTTGCTGCGCGTTACCTGGCCAAATGGGTATTATGAGTAACTATAATTTCTACATGCTTAGTATGTTTATTATTGGTATTTGTTTTGTCATATTCAGCTCTCTTATGAACCTGGTCAGTTTATTGTTTTGTGGATTCGTAGTCGGCTTCTTTTTAGGCGTTTTTGTCGGTTTATTTCCAGCAATAACACAAAGTTGCGTTTCTGAAGATTGGTTTAATTTTGCTTACGGTTATATTGGAATACCAACAGGTGTGTCAAGCGCCTTGGGAGGGTATATCATGGGTATGTACATCATTTTATTACTCGATACCACCAACATTTATTCAAACAATGGCTTGCAATGACAGTGCTCTTTTTATCATTTTTCATCCATTTATATCGCACAATTAACTAAATATCCAATTAATGTATAACATTAGACCTAACATTTTGGGAGCCGCGCGTCCTTCAGGCGACAGTTGATTTTCCGCTTTTGTGACTCCTGAGCCGTCATGCCAAATGAATAAAATAAAATAAAATAAAAATAAAACATTTTATTATTATTATTATTATTATTATTATTATTATTATTATTATTATTATTATCATTCAGGCAAAAGATACATTATACAAAATATAATTCAAATACAAAAAAATCAAACGAATATAACATTAACAAGTATATTAAATAAACCATTAGTCTTTAACTGCCAGAAAAGCATAAAAGCAGCCTAAACCACTGTCACCAATAGGTGCGTACTGTACATCCAACTAATGACTACTAAGATATTACAAATAAATGACATAGATAAACATAAGTGACTAAAACATTGCCTTTTTATATTAAGCCTATGTTTTGTAGATATTGATGCTAATAATAATTTGAATATTACATTAGTTATAATCTCCGTATATATAAATTTAACATAGCCATGTGAATGTTACGCTTACACCTATTCTGTCTTATCGGTATCTCAACCCCTGTCCAAACTATCAAATGTTATTTAAAAATACGGTCATGGCAATACATAGTGACCGTATATAGGCACACACACACACACACACACACATCTGTCTCTTATACACATCTAGATGTGTATAAGAGACAGTATATATATATATATATATATATATCAAATGTTATTTAAAATGACTACTAAGATATTACAAATATGGGCATACAATATTATTAATTGACGAATTGTAATTGTAAATGTTCTATCTTGTTGACAGGTGCGGTATATGACGCGACTGGAGTGTACAACACGTCATTCTACATCGCAGGCGTTTGCTTCTTTTTCAACGGTTTCTTAATGTTCGCCAGTAAATGTATTCCAAAATGTCAAAATAAAATATCAATGGCACACAATCTTTAGAAATCGCATTGCAGAGGAAATAGGAAGTCCTTGTACATGACCGGAAGGGGACTCTGGACGGCATAATAGGGAGATATCGCAACCTTACAAAAAAAAGATAATGAATATCGTCATTATCATTATCATCATTCGTGACTGAAACATTCTTGACAATACCAATATGCTGTACGAACTGAATATGATCTTTGATTCATGCAAAAGGCATGAATCGCTACGTGCTCATAGATATGCTACTGAAGGGAAGGGTTGTCTAAAAATTTGATGACTTAACCGTATTCGTTATCGTTTTAAGCTTGCGAAAACTCCATATACCGCAGCCGAAGAAACTTTTCATGTATCAAAGTATATTATTGTCATAAACTAATAATGGTGTCATATTAATGTATTTTATGTCAGTGCTAAAATGTTAGGCCAAAATTAAAGAAAATGTTCCACGAGCTAACTGTACAGTTCCAGCCGCTCGCCCAGTGTTCGGTTGGTTGGTAGAACCAAGTCTTCACGGAAGGACTTAAAATGGAGGTCCATCTGGCTCGTGTGCACCTTAAAGAACCTATTGCATTTTTCTGAGGAGTAGGGTGTTAAGCCGATGCTATGGTTCATTCCAGCCCCTGCGTTGTGGAATGATGTTAACATGCAGCTACTATACAGTAATACTATAGATACCAACGGACCATCCCATACACAATTCAGAAGCTGCGAGTTATGGGTTATTCTCCTACCTTTACACTTTACCTTTAGGCATTACACTTATATACGGGTCTGTATCTGACGTACACATAGTAAATGTTAAACAATTTTATACTGTAAATTTTTATTATGTAACTATTTACTATTTTTTAACTTGCTAATATTTTAACGTAATATGTTGTCATTTCCATGTTGTTTTGTCTTGTGATTTTCATCTAAATTTATCCTTTTTTTTAATCCAACTGTTGCAAAGGAAAAAACAATTCCTATTTTATAATGGGACAATAAAGATTAATGCCAATTAATTATTCAAAGTTAGAAATAGTGTCTACGATTAATAATTACATTAAGTCTAATTATATATGTAGGCGTTAAATGCCTACAAAATGTATTTTGATCAGTTGCTTTATTAATAACATTTGTATATGTTTCTCTGGATGGTTGTTGAAATGCAGTAATAAGTTATAAGCATTAGTAAGTCCAAATTAGATTAGTAAAGCTTTCATCGTAGAATATCATCTTATCTTATCTCATCTCATCTCATCTCTTTTCATCTCATCTTATCTTATTTCATCTCATTTTATCTCATTTCATCTCATATTATATCACTTCATATTATCTCGTCTCATCTTATCTCATCTCATCTTATCTTATCTCATATTATCTTATGTTATCTCATCTCATCTTATCTCATTCCATTCTTATCTCATCTCATCTTATCTCATTTCATCTTATGTCATTTCATCTCATCTTATCTCATTTTGTCTTATCTCATTTTATTTATTTTAACTTATCTCATCTCATCTAATATAATCTAATCTTATCTCATCTTTCTTTTTTCCGTCTTTCATCTCATCTTATCTCACTTTCATCTCATTTCGTCTCATCTCATCTTATCTTATCATCGGGGATATAAGACAAACATGGAATTCTGTTGCTTGGCTAACAGAATGAAGAGAGTGAAACAATTGATGAATTTTTTTAAAAATGTCTAGAAAAAAATCACTTAACTATAGGTTAAAATTTACCACCGCTACATTCCAGTATCTAGGTGTAAGTTTAGGGGTTGGAACTTCAAATTTATGACAAATATTTATCAAAGCTCGTGTTATCTTATCTCATATTGTTCTTACCATACTATGTTGGCCGGGCCTATAATGTATAGCTTGTAGAGGGAAACGGCAGTGAGATTAATAAGTAAATTTCTTTTCTAAGGTTAATTAAATAGTAATTTGATGCAGTATAATAAAGTAACCATATTACAGGATATTAAAAACCCTTATAATTGCATTATTAAAGTAATTCTCAAGACGAAGAGCATAGTTGCATCGTTATGTCTTTAATTATACGTACAGCATTTCGTAAATCACTTGGATTTATATTATGCAGTGTTTAGTGATGCATCCGAATGCAATTTAACGTCATTTCAATTCCAGTTGACTTTTGTTATTGCCTCTATGGCAATTATAAGGTCAACGAAGTTTCTGTTTCTCAAAATCACGAAAATCATGATAGGTTTTATTTGGCCAAAAACAAAAGGAAGAGCTCAAACTATAGGTGTATATATAAATTTAAATGCCAATTTTCAAGCGTAATGCATTTATTTTCTTTGCCATGAATTTTAGCCCTAGGAGTATCGTTTTATGAACCAAAATGTGTATGATGGTTGCATAACCATAGAATAGGTATAGGCATAGTAAAAGTAAAGTTGCTGACTGATCGACAGTGATTTCAAATGTCACTGTGCGGGATAAACAGATTCATTCAAAAGACAATTCTTATTTATTTCAATTTAAAACAGACACATAACTGAGAAAGGGATTGTCGCCAAGTAGGCCTAACACTTTTCTAACAAAAACGGCCAAATAGACCTTCATTCAGCCTAACTAATCGTGCCGCATGTTTTATAAAGACCTTTTCATTCGCTTAACAATCCTTGCATATTGCACAGTGATGTGTGCCTAAATAGATAAGAATACATAAATAAATAAGATAAACCGATATATTACAAGTGTTTTTCCGTTATAGGAAAAATAAACGTTGCTTTAATAACAAGATATACGTTACAATAAATTGCGACATAATCACATGTATGAGTTAGCTGTTTAGGCAATGTAGAAACAGATAAATAAAAAGGCTTAATTCGTATCTCTCTTTTCTCGTAAGCGTTATTATTTACCTATACTCTATTTCATCTTTCATATTGTTGTGTATTCCTTCTCAACAGTGACATTGGATGGCCTATAGAATGCCAATTCATTATTAATACTGAACAGTCTAGATATACTGCAGGTATAGCCTTTCTAAACAGACGTTACTGGCGTGTTGTCTTATTTATTGTAAATAGGCCTGTTATTTAAGCGCCTTAGAATAAGATTGTTGATTGTATAAGACGCTATATAAAAATACAACTACATTATATTACTGAACGTCTCGCCTGAAATAGCAATAATTCCATTATTCACGGGTAGCGGAGAAGAATCTGACGTTATGTTTCATGCACACCGATTTTTCCGATTAAATATTATTCATGATGCATTGGCGATTAGTATGGATAGGTTTTTAATCTTGCACGGTTCGGTGTCATCCATGTGTGTAGGTTTATTATTTGCTCATGGATAGTCTGCGTGATATACGAAGACCCGGAGGAGGCATAATAAAAACGATTAAATTATTACGTACCGGTACGCATTCTGCCAATTCGACACTTTCACGGCTCAGATTCAGTATGTATAACACACCTAAGTAGATCCCTGTCCTTTGATTGTTTACGTTGGTTGTTTACCCCATTTTGTCACTCATCGTGGAAATATAGTTCCACCGTGCATTTTTATTTCAATCAGTACATTTGCTTTCCACCCGTTTTTTCCCCATTGCACGGTGCCTAGGGTATGATATGGTGATCAACCTAATACAATCTGTTGATTGGTTAAAGAGACGCTGTAACTTACTTATTTCGGGTTCCCCTGACCTTAAGTATCACCTTTTTCTAGATGATCTTGAAATTCATTATGAACACCAAATTATAAAAAAACCCAATTTTAACTCATTTTAATTATGAAATGGCAGGAAAAATTTTTAAAATATTTTTAACTAAAGCATGGAAGAACGTAAAAAAATCTATAATACTTTTTCTTAGATAAATTTGTTGAAAAAGAAAAGAAAAAAAGAAGAAAGAAAAAGGAAGAAGAGGAGAAAAAGGAAGAATGTGGGGGATTAGGGATGAAAAGAAAAAAAAAGAGGAGAGGAGAAGGAGGAGAGAGGAGAGAGAGGGGAAGAAAAAAATTATTTTTATTTTTCTTTCTTTCTTTTTCTTTTCTTTTTTTTTTTTTTTTAAATTTCATTTACCATCAAAATTTTGATTGAGCATTTCCGACATTTAATTGTCCAATTGTAACACCAAATTCAATAATCAGCTTACGGGTCCTGGAAAATTAAGTCTAGAATTATTTTTTAAATATTTATTTAATTAATGTTTTTGTCCCAGGGGGTGTGGTCAGGACCCTGACCCCTCCAGATCCACCAATGATCTCCCTCCCCAATTCACTCCTAGATATGACACTGGAAATCGAGTGTATTTGTTTTTACATTTGGCACCCAATGGCTGCAGGAATGATTTTATCGTATACCTTAATTAAAAAACGGCGCTTTTGTAGGGGTTGGGGGTATATTAATTCGCTTGCTAAATGCAGGGTGGCAGATATTGGCAGCTAAACTTGGCATTAGAGTAAAGCTTAGGCTCTGCTACCTGTCTCTTATACACATCTAGATGTGTATAAGAGACAGGGCCTACGGCCTAGTTTAATATTGCTGTACTATATACTCCAACATCACTGGCGCATGGTAACAACCAACTGACTGCAGACCATTTCCGGTCACACATTACTCTCCATAACCCTCTAGTTCCGTCACCTCTGGGTAGGAGTACGACTGCAAGATATACAGTACCGATACCACATGAAGCTGAAATACACTTTATGTTATAACTTCGATGCCTTGAAATTTGAAAAAAGGACACGCCACACACATATAATTGCAGGAACAGTATAGGCTTGTTTTCAGTGGCGGGGGGGGGGGGGGGGGGGGGGGGGGGGGGGGGGGGCCACGCCCCAAAAAAATAATCGCGCCCCACCAGTTTTCCCCCAAAAATCAAGGTCAAGTAGTTAAAAATCACCTAAAATCACCTTATTTTGTGAATTCGCGCCTCTCAACTGACCATCGGTCGTAGGAGCTGGATGACGCTAAAGATCCGGTACAAAAAATGGAGACCCAGCGACCAACGGTCTGTCGTTTTCTGGTTTTTTCAAGGTTTCTGTTTTTGAACGGAGTGGGATCGATCTATTGTTTTTTACTGTCCGACCGAAAAGCCAATAAGATACCGTGTGGCGGATTTGAAGGGGAGTAAGGGTCACACACTTCCACCCCCCCCCCCATATTTTTGGTAAAAATAATTTTTTGTAAAGCTTATCAGAAAATTACTACAATAAAGAGTAAAAATCAATCAAATATAACCCAAATTAATAAGGTTTTATTTTAGTCCCTCCGAGGCTCCGTGCACACTCACCAGGTGTCTACCCTTCTAGACTCTTGGTCTGCTCGCACATTTACCCCACCCCCTTCTTAATGGGCTGGATCCACCCCTGATGAATTCGAATCAGAATTAATCAAATTTATTTCACTTCTTTCCTTTGTAGGCCCATGTTCAGGAACAGTGCAAATTCTCGCAGCCTAGATTACCATGGAGAAATGAAAATATGAGATGCACCATTATCTTAACTTTGAAACGACCTGACAGGAACTCCAACACAATGAGGGTAATTGATTTAGTACAAGGGTTACATTCCAACTCTTTCACAATTTCCTAAAGTAATACCGTAATAAATATAGGCATAATTAGCCTGATCATTGGGGAAATTGAATTTGCTGAACAGCCGCTTTGTACACACTACAGCCTGAATAAGTGGTAAGATACCGTATTTATTTGAATATATTCTGGGCGTTTATGGATTTTTGATTTGTGGGTGGGGGGGGGGGGGTGGAGGGGGCGTTAATTCGAAGAGGCGTTTACATTTTTTGTGTAAAATGGATACGTATATGTACTCAGATAGGACTAAAAAACCCTTTATTTCTCTGCTGTAAATGTGGAACTATGGCCTGCAACACATAGGGCCTAATTAGACCTACCGTCAAAATGTGTCACTGCGTGTCCTAAAGACTTATTAATCCCAAACAGGTTTGACAAAATGTAATTCTACTGGATTACAGTGAATATTAATAGAATGTGTTAAGAATTATGTTGCCTCCATTAGTTTTTTGGTTACAAAGTCATTTAGGGGGCGTTTATTAGAGAAAAAGTAATCACCTGGGGTGCTTATTCGATGGAGACGTTTATTCCAAATGAGGTTCTGAAGGGGAGTTTATTCGACGAGTAGGGCGTTTATTTGTAATACAGTAATAAGCCTACTTATTTTGTAACAAAATTGGTGTATGCAGTACTATAATGACTTCAAGCTGTCGAATGCATTTCAGTAACAACTCACTTAGCTCAGGGAACACTGAAATTACAAATTGTAATTTCACTGTTCCTTGCCTAGCTAAATACAAATATTTCGTAGCATCATTTGCCTTGAGTGCAAGATATGGGTTGCTCACAAAATTGCAGTACAGTCAGTGGAGCGCAGGGCCGGCACTGTGGCTTTCTGAGACCGGGGCCCTTTTTGGGTCACGCGGTCGCAATCGTGGGTTTTTAAGATGTGCTCGATTTTTAATTATTTGTTGTCATTGTCATGGAACTCAATTCCATTTGATTTAATTTTTGTTATGTTACAAATTTAAAGATAATTAACTGTAAAATGTTTGCTGTAAAAGTTTTGTTGATTAGATTTATTCATTTTAATGAGCTCTTCAGAAATGAATATAAACTTACGGTGCATAGCAAACAAAAGTAAACAAGATTTATTTTTTGATCTTCTGCAAAGATTTTTATCATTTTTGTGCCAAGTGCCACCGTATTTTTCATTTGTACTATGATGTTTACAAAGGTACCTCGTTATTATGGCCTGAGATTGCCTTGTGAGGCACCTCTATGTGGAATATTGAATTAAAAAAAAAAAATAGTCTATCGTTTCTGGCGTTTCATACTTGGGCACGCTCGCTTTTATTGAAAACCAACCTGTGCATACAATAGAATAGCCCAAGGTCGTGAACTGATAGGAGGTGAGGTTGAGATTAGGTTATGTAATAGTACCATGTAAAACAAATACATTGAAAGTGTTAATCTGGGTTGTTAGGCTAGCCTAGGCATAGTTATGAAACATTTTTTTAGAAAAGTTGTGAATGAATGCAAAATCAGTTATGCCAAGGAGGTGTTGCATGACGTATTATCATCTACAGTACTTTGCCTAAAGGCCTAGACTTAGCTAGCTAAACTTAAAATTTGAAGCTGGTAGTGGTAAGTAAATATTCATACATAGATAGGCCTAGTCACTATATCAATCTGATCTAGGCTAGGCCTAGGCTGTGTCTATTATAGGTACTATACTGTAATTCTTCTAAGGCTCTATCGGATTAGGCTAGCTAGGTCCTAGGAGCCTGATTGATGCCGCAGGGCTTACACGTCTAGGACTTGAAATGGTGGCCACGGAAGTGGTGTAGAGGGCTTTAAGTGAGGGAGCGCTAAGTCGCAAAAAAGGTGATGAAGTGATTTTTACTTGAAGTTGAAGTGATTTTTTTCCCTTCGGACTTTCAATGTGGAAAGTACGACTGGGCCTGTGAAGATTTTTAGGGGGATGCGTGGCCCCAGGTATGCCACCTCACTGTTTAACCTTTCTATTAGTCCTAGCCTGGCCCATAGTGCTCTTTACCAGTGATAAGGAATAATATCCTAAGTGTTTAGTTTAATGCTGGATTTTAATCCTTAATTAAGGTTAAGGTTGGAGTGTACTCTCGTACTAAACCATCTTTGGTGTATATCACACCAAGTAAATCCAATCCAAACTACACTAGGCTATACTTGTTTGTTTTGCCAAATCACCAATTAACTCACATCAAACACATTTACAAATGATAATTAAACATAACTGTATTTGCTGTAAATTTGATAAATTGAAAGTAAATTATTATTGTTGAAAATTTACTGAACATATTACTGTATATTGTTTCAGAGAACTTAAAGACTGCAATAATGGAAAAGTGGAGGGATTTGAAGGTGATCCTAACCATTATGGCTATGACCATTATATTGATGTTGACTATGGGGTTGATGTTGTCATTTGGTGTCTTTTTGGTGGATTTTAAATTATATTTTGAGACCGGATCAGGTGTAGTTGGAGCTGTTAGTAGCTTGTGCATCGCTGTTTTTTGTTTTTCTGGTAAGCATTAAATGTAATTTATACAATCCCTCAGTTGAATTTTTACTGTCATTGTTTATGAACCTTCATACCGTAAAACCTTCAATAGAAGCCCAATGGGCTTAATCTTGAGAAGAAGCCCATCTCAAATTGAAGCCGCTTCTTTAGTTTGCAAAAGTAGCCTCGAAAAGAAGCCCATCTAAAAAGAAGCCCATTCAAAGGTCGCAAAAAGAGAAGCAGCTGAGCCCAGGGCCTGTATTCGAGGTTTTATGGTATTGGTGTACTGTTACTAGCCTACTAAGATTTGCAGTTTTTTAAGTCAAACTGGGGTCACGTTGTTCCCCATACAGCACACAATGGTTATAGTGCAAATAAATTAGCTTAATTTACTCGCTATAGCACGTAAACAATGTCTTGACATTGAGGGCCAGTCCCACATGGGATTTTGGCCAAGTAAATTTGGCCTCCCTTTTGTATGCAATGTAAACAGTGAATTTGGAGCTCTCCACATCAATTTCTATAAATATTGGTGGTAGGGGAGGGGGCTGTGTGGGCCAGGAGAATTTCCTTGTTAATTCAGCCCCTAGGATTCCAGATGCTACCATAGACGAATAGACCTATTTGATTTTACAAAGGAAAGTGTTATTATTATTTTTATCATTATTAATATAACTCATCATCAACACCATCTTTACTATCACTATGTTATTATTACAGTAATCATCATCATCATATCACCACTATCAATATTTTCACTATCATCATCATCTCCATATTACTGTATCATCATACTCTATGTCATAACAGTATGGTGTCACTGTTAGTGTAGGTCAATATTTTTTACTTAAAGGATGTTGCTGTGATTACTGAGTTTCTCTGAACATAACATAAATAGTTATGAGCTTTTTATTGAATACAAAAATGCAGGTAGATAATCTAAAGATAATACACTTTATATGATACTGTACTGTAGGTTACAGTGCTCACTGTCCTAAGTTAGAGACGTGGGGCAGATGCGATAGCACCCCTCTAAATTGTATTAAAAAATTAAAGTAATTGTTGTATTGTTGATATCAATTTTACCGGTAAGATCTTTAAGGTATGGTAGTGCAATTTCCAGGCAAAATTTTCGCACCTCAGCCCCAACCATGGTAGGGCTAGGGTGGCGTGGATTCCCATGCACCCCCCACCGCCAAATCCTGCATCTGCCCCAGGAGACCAATATAAACTACTGTAGAACTAAACGATTGGATTTTTTTTGTTTTTTTGTGGTGCAATAATAACATGGTATGATAAATGATGGTGGTAGTGGTGGTCTTAGCATGGTGATGGTGCCAAGACCTTTTGGCCCTGACTAAATCCAAGAATTCTTATTTGTTATTAAAAAAAACATTCATATTCCTATTGTAGCTCTCTCACTAAATATCATAGACTTCTAGTTTATAAGAACATTGTTCTTTCATACTGTATCAATAATCAAGTTAGCTGCACTATACTGTGAATAAACCTACCGCATGTCATTGCTTAAGGCCGTTTTCCACAAGGCGAATTTATATTCGCGTGAATCGAAAGCATCAGATCGCTTCCTGAGCTTTGATTGGTTGCACAATTTTTCGCTTCGCAGAATTTAGGAACAGTTTAAACTACTGATTTTGTTGAAGCAAAAAACTCTGATAGAAATGTGAACTAGTGCGAACTAGTTAGCCTAGTGGTGGAAAAAAGCACTGTCAAATAGGATCCAAAAAGCAGCAATCTACCATGCACTGCTCACCATGATAAACTCATGGATGATCTGAAAAGTATTTATTGCCAGAAAAATTGCATGTTTGTTACAGATTTTTAGTTGTAAAGCATTTAAGTAAAACACTTTCACAGAGTGTTGTCGCCAGATTTCAGAGGAGTGTGGGGGGGTGGGGGTGGGGGATGATTTTCAAAAAAGCCTCACGCTTGCATGTGGCAAAGAAAAGCCAAACCAGTCACTCGTCGAAAAAAATCGATTTTTAGTTATTAATACAGGGTTGAAAATGAGGGCTATAAAATGGAATAATTTAAATCCGACATTTTGTTATGAAGTTACAGGAGTTTGAGATTTGAGAAATCAGTCTTCAGAGTTTACGATTTTGGGCATTTCTTAGGCAGAAACCATCACCAAATTGTTAAAAATTGTTGTTTTGACATTGAAAATGAAGAAAATAACAGCATAGCATGATGTAAAGATTTATACTGTAAATGTTGGTTTAGTGCAATAAAATACTGTAGATTTCCAGAATTTTGACATTCCAGCATGTTTTGGCCATTATCTCTGAAACAAGATTTGCAACGAGTGACTGGTTTTTTTTGTCTTTGCCACATATGTTAAATTTGTAATCCTTATGTGATGATGATAAAAATGATTGATGATAATAATATCTTGTTCATTTATACTGTTTTACAGGACCATTACATTGTATAATTGGACAACGGTTTGGATGTCGCTTTGCAATTTGTATTGGTTGTTGTTTGGTTTCTCTTGGATTCTTCTTAAGTTCACTGGTGCGGGAACCCTGGCATTTACTCCTTTCTCATTCCATTATAACAGGTAAACCTATCAAGTAATCTGTATTTAAAGCCTAGTTTTTTTTATAAAGCATTGATTTTTACCCTAATAATAAGCCTGATAATGGTGATCAGGAATATCAACACATTCAAACAACAACTCAAAACACATCTTTTTATTTTCAATTTTGCATAATTCCAGATTTTTATTCTGATGTATAGAGCATTTGGGCCTTTAGCAAAATTCATTAAATCAAGATTGAACTACTGTAATGTTTTCATTATTATCGTTATTGTTATTTTATTGTTATCGCTATTGTCATTACAACAGACTTAGGCCGTGTTAAGAGTAGCATTCAATCGATTTTTCATCATCCTTTTGTTTGTATTTGCATTGACTATGTTGACAAATAAAAACTAAAATTAATATCTAAACTAGAAATTGCAAATTGCAAGTGAAGTGCTGCGAAGTACAACTGCATAAAATGTTCTTCGAACAAAATTATTTATGCTAGTCAAGTGAAAATAATGAATAATAAAAATATAACAAATAATATGAGCACGATTCATTGTCTATATATTATTAGAACAGCGTTGGTACAATAGTGTTTTGCTGCAGTGACATCTCTCTGCTGGCGATGGCTCGCTGCTGCTGGCAATGACTCGCTGCTGGCGAATCGATCTGCGCATGTGTATAAAATGACACTATGCCAGTCTACAA